AAAGTTCAAGAACTTGAAAATAAGAGAAATGATGTGAAACTACTGATTGGTGCTGCCGAAAGAAATTCTGAAATCATTGGAGATGAAGTTAAGTCATGGTTGCAAAAGGTCGATGACTTAAAGAAAAAATCTGACAAAGTTTTGGACAGTGTAGCAGCATCTGAAACGTGGTGTCTATTCAATAGATGTCCAAATTTGAAGACTCGTTACTTATTAAGTAGGAGAGCCACAAAGAAGACTATTGAGGCTGATAAGCTCAAAGTGGAAGGTACATTTGAGAGGGTGAGCTATCCTCAACCTTCGGAGCAAGTGTTGAACCTAACGTCACATGAGGGTTTCGAAACAAGGTTATCAACTAAGAAAAATATTAAGGATGCTCTAAAGGACAAAGATACTAGTATAATTGGGATCTGTGGTATGCCTGGAGTTGGTAAGACAACAATGGCAAAGGAAATAGTCAATGAACTCAAAGATGAGAAAGTATTTGAAGAGGTTGCATCTGCAGATGTATCTAGCGATCTAGACATAAACAAAATTCAGGATGAACTTGCGGAAATGCTTGGTCTAAAAATTGAAGAAAAAACTAAAGACGGAAGAGCTGGACGACTTCATGAAAGAATTAAAGGTAACAATGGCAAGAGCATTCTTGTAGTATTAGATGATGTGTGGGGAGAAATTGATTTGGAAACTATAGGAATTCCATCTCCAAGTGGTCAAGAAGGGTTGAAAATTATGTTTACGACACGAAATGAAGGTACGTGTCATAACATGGGAGCCCAAACGTTCAAAATCGAAGTTTTGAGTGAAGAAGAAGGATGGAAACTTTTCAAGGATATGGCAAAGATTTCTAATAATGAAACTGGTGAACTCGTAAACATAGCCAAAAAAATTGCACGGGAATGTAGAGGTCTACCCATTGCACTAGTTGTTGTTGGCAAAGCACTGAAAAGCAACAAGTCTACACATAAATGGAGAGATGCACTTCGGCATCTACAGAGGTCTAGTGCTACCAATCTTGAAGGAATGGACAAAGTCGTGTACCAAAGTATAAGATTGAGCTACAACTATTTGGTAAGTAATGAAGAGCGGGAATTGCTTTTGCTCTGTTCTCTATTCGCTGAAGATGAAAGTATTCCAATTGAAATTTTGGTTAGATATGCAAGGGGGCTAGAGTTGTTT